TTGGTACTAGGAATCGAACTCAGGACCTTGCGCTTGCAAGGCAGGCAGTGGCACCACTGAGCTACATCCCTGGCCCTGGAACTGAAATTTCCACTTTAGGTTTTCCATTACTGTTATTCCCAAAAGACAGGATTTTCACAGCAATTAGTTATTGCAGGAAACGGAAAGGGGACATTACGAGAACCTCTGTAGTAAGTCCTTGTCTCCTGTGAGCCACGACAGCACAAGGTGAATTCATTTATTAGAAAAGATAGAAAAATGAGATTTAGAAAAGCAGCTGAGCTTTGGGCCTGACCAACACTGCCCTGAATAGCAAAAACTAAAGCCCCCTGGCTTGGCACAACTTTAGTGGGTACATCAGGAGAAACAGATGGCTCAGAGGGCAGAAGAGAGTGAAAAGATGCAGATGAAGATTTGTTTCTCCCCAGGATGTCTTTAGCTGGTGTAATCTGGCCCTGGAGCATCATAGCATCACCTAACCATTGAGGGTTTAGCTGTGACTGGAGGCCAAAATGGAGTTATGTCTTGACATGCTATAGCTGGCCTGTAGGTAGGAGAACTAGGCCTAATCATAATGTGTGAAATGATTTTCCCCTAAAATTATGCAGAATTGCTCCTGACAAGTTATGACTCATCACATTCCCCACCTGTCTGATATTTGATCAATGTTCATTTCAGACTCTCCCTAAAATCAGCCATCCTGGGTTACTTCCCCTTTCCCTGCTCCTACCTGGATATATACACAGGTTGGTAATACCAGTGAAGGCATACCAGTCTATCACCCCAGAGAATGCAACAGTATACTATTTGTTGAACTCTACTTACACTTTGTGACCTAATTATTTTATTTCATCAGAAAATGTTTCCTTTAGGTATGATATTTTGAAGAGACTGTTTCATTCTACTGAGTGACACTAATTTAAGGATTACAAGTTTTCCTAGGAGAATATTTTTTAAATAGAAATGAAAGTAGAGGCCCAGGGATTTAGTTCAGTGGTGCTGTGCCTGCCTGGCAAGCACAAGGTCCTGAGTTTGATCCTCGGTACGAGGAAAAAAAAAAAAAAAAAAAGTAGAAACCAGATTGGTAGCGAGTTTGCCAAAGACTTCAATAATGTTGAATCACTGGTTAGATACTGTTGTTGTGGAACCAGGGATCAAACTCAGGATCTTGTGTTTGCCAGGCAGGCATGGTGCCACTGTCATTTTACATCAGTATTGGTTAGTTATTGTTAGTTGATGGAACAAGATAAAAATCCAGGTACAAATTCCCTATGATTAATGTTATTGTTATGTATGTCTAAAATGAACCAATAAAGGTTTTGATTCAAAAAAAAATCTAGAACTCCCATTTACCACAAGTGCAAATGAAAGAAAAATGAGTATGCGTTATGTAACACTTCCCAAATCTTTCATAGGTATTGTTACTGGAATCAGTATTCCCACTTTAAGGTTACTAAGGCTACTTGGTCTATGTACAATCAGTAATAAGAGTTATTGTTTGTTTTTATTTAAATTATGTCTCATCTCTAGCAAAAAAAATTCTTGAAATAACTCTCTGAAGTGTTAATTATCTTTTAATACAGAGTTAAATAATCATTAAAATTCTAAATGTTGACCAGGCCTAGTAAAATAATCTCTTATACCATCAGTTGTAACACATAACCCATAGTAACTAATCTGCCTACATTAAAAAACAAATGCTGTGATGGGATTACAATGTGAATAAGGTTGTGCAAGTCCACATTTCACATACACAATCCATAAAAAATTGTGATGCTCAGTCTATGAGTTCACCACAATTAAATTTCCAGACCTCATGGTTTTTAGCAAGCAGCTTCTGATGGTTACTTCTGTTTTGTCACATTCTTAGTTCGCCCACTCTTTTTCTGTCCTTTCTTCTTCTTCTTGGTAAAAAGAACAGCTTTTTCTCCAATAAATACACTTTTAGATTGTCCTACATCTTTGGAAGCAAAATTAAATCTCTGCTTAGATTTACTGACATTCTTCAAACCTGGATTTGAACTTTGTTGTTTTAATTTTTCTTTGTTAACAGAGTGCATGACTCTGAGTTTTCTTCCCATTAGCTCAGAATTGTTTAATTTTAGAGCAAGATGAACAGCATCTGTGTTCTGGAAAAAAAAAGTCAATACATTAATTTCCACCAGAAGCTCATCTGCAAACAGACTACTAGTAAAATTTCATCCTTAATAGAGGAGAATAATCTTCAGGCCTGCACAGAGAAGCCCCTCCTACTGCTAGAAGTTCAATTCTACGCGTTCTTTGGATCATGGTCTACACAGGTTTTCTCGGAGACACTCAAGCTGCCTCAAAATTTTCAGGTAAGTCACAATCAAAGAGGGTTCATTTTCAGCTTTTTTTTTTGGTATTGGGGATCGAACTCAGGACTCTGTGCTTGCCAGGCAGGTGGTGGCACCACTAAGCTAAATCCCCAGCCTGAGGCTTCACTTTTTCATTGTAAGCAGTTTTTAATGATTAGCCGTATGCAATCTTTAAAACCAAAAACACCTCCTTTTCACAAGCCATCTGCTTTGTGTAGAGGCCAAGGAACTCTCCATCAGACTGGATACCCTGTAGGATTCCATTTATGTCTCAAATCATATTATTCTTAATGAGTCTAATACAGAACCTTAATACTATCTTAAAAGTCCAAGAAGTATTTCCTACAGGACTCTAAGAGCTTATCAAGCAACAGAAGATAGAGAAGAGGGAAACACTCCCATCTTTTCTAAAAAACTACCCACCAACACGTATTATCAAATCTTCAAAATGGTTATATACCTTGACCTAGAAATATCCTAGTAGGAAGCTAGCCTAAAGAAGTGATCCAAAATGCAAGTAAACATTCAAGGAAAAACATCACTACTACAATTTCACTATTACAGAGAACACTGCCAGTGTCCAACATCAGAAAAGTAACAGTATAAATCATGTTATAACATCAATATGCTCACAGGACAGAAAATGACAGAAAGGAGTTGCAAAGTTTTATGTTTATAGATGTTCAGCTATAAAGACATAGGAAAAGAACTGATATGAAATATGCTATTGCTGAGAAGAAAAATTTAAGTGCCACCAGATAATAAGTATACTTTTTTACTACTTAATAATGTTAGACTTGAAATACTGGTTAAATTAGTGAACTAAATATAACTAATTTGTACAAAGACTCCAAAATTTTCCTCTACTTGAGTGAAGAATTATTTTATCCATTGCAGTGAAGATGGAGATTCAGATATTTAGCCCATTAATTTCCAGTATCTTAATAGCAGTATAAAGAAAAAGAGAACTAGAACACTTTTTGCTTAGGTGCAATCCTAGCTAAAGTATCATGGCAGGTTATACATTTAGGGGTTTTGTTTTGTTTCTTGGAGATACTGGGGATTAAACTCAGAGCTTTCATACTGAGCTATATGCCTCACCCTGTTTTTTATTCTGAGACAGGGTATCTATCACTAAGTTGTCCACGTTGGGCTCAAACTTGTGATGCTCACCTGCCTGAGCCTCCCAAACTACTAAAATTACAGGCACGCTCCTGTATGAATTTAGTTTTACGTCAGAATTTGAGGATGAAAATAAGGTACATCTGAATGATGACACAGCAACAATCCCTCCTAGTTCATTCCAAGGGATTGTGACAATGCATTAGTCTCCCATACCTCAAAGAGCACATAGCCAAACCCTTTGCCAACTCCTGTAACTGGGTCTCTCACAATCCTCACTGCCACAATACTGCCACAGTCCAGAAAGTGCTCTTCCACAGCGGTTTCTTCAACTTCTAAAAAACAATTCACCACAATAAAAGTAAAGATTTAACTTTTCCTTAGAAGATGTTTTATAACACAGCAGGTCAAGTACAGCCCCATAAAAAATACATCATTACACTGTACACTTCTTAAATTTAGTCTTAAGCAAAACATTAATACTCAGTTTTTATTTTGTTACTTAAAAACAGTATCTGTACTTTATTTGTTTAAGCAAACTTACTGTAAGGGAGATTCCCAATAAACACTGATCTCTTGTCTCTCTGAAATACAAAGAGAGTTAATAAAAATCACTCATAGGAGCAGAAAATGGAAGCCATCCTAACTCCCTAACTATATCCCACATTCCCCATCTGATGGGTCGGGTCATTCACCCCTGACTAAACCACACCTTTGTTCCTTATTTCTATTCCTCCCATCTTCCCCCTGGGCTGACAATGGGCACTAGAGGGACAGACTTTCCACACACAGCAAGCACTGACACAGAGTGGTATTCAGGGAAGGCCTGCTATACTGGACTGGGAAGGTGGGTGACCTTTTCTGTAAAGGACCCTAGAACAATTATTTTAGGCTTTGTGGGCTATGTGGTTGGTCTCTGTTGCAAGTAACCTCTACTGTAACAGCTCAAAATCCCATAGGTGATACAGAAAAAGCAGTGTGGTTGTATACCAACAAAACAAAAATACTAGGTGGTTTGGCCCATGAGCCAACATAGTTTGCTGACCTTATGCTACATTCTTAGTCCAGCTAGGCTTTTTATCCAGGCTGCTGTCCTTTCTCAACTAGGCTACACTGATGCTGATAGAAACACTAGACTTTTGAGTGAAGCCTACAATACATGTTCCATCCATCTCCTGCTACCTTTGCCAAATGTGAATCTGGTCACATCATTTCTAGACTCCTTCCTGGACAAAATCGAGACTCCTGTACATGAAGCACAACAGACTAGGGTTTCGTAATTTGGCCTCTACTATTTGTCTGACAATTCTTCCTACTGTACCTCATATCCCACCCACCCAGTAACTATCCCTGAGAAATCAGGGTCCATCCCACCCCTATTTACACTGATTTTTCTTCTCAAATATTCCCACTGCCCTTTAAATTTTTTTCTCCTAGAAAATGCCTACTCATCTTCCAAGACTGACAGGAGACCTGTTTTCTTGAAAATACTCCTTGCCCATTCTTCCTGGCACATCCCCAAGTGCCCAGTTCCTAAATTAGCAAAGCATCTTGTAAATTTTTGACAATATTTATCACAAAAGAAGAGCCTCAAGCTGTCCCTCTGCTTATCTCCCCCACACACTATGTGTGAGCTGACTATGTCTTAGGAATAGTGTGCCTGACAGGGTTCTTGTTATGGTTTCTATTTTTGATGTCCCCTAAAAGACTCATGTGTTCATAGGTAGGGCTTTTTCAGAGGTGGATGGGTCTAGAGTGCATGATTCTGGGCGTGTGATTACTAAATTAGTCCACTGAATGGTTTGGCATACTTCTGGGTAGGACTAAGGGTGCCCCATGCTGGGTGTGAGTGCTATCTGCCCCAGGGGTGGGTAACCTAGACAAAATATAAGGGATAGAAAAAAAGCTAGCATCATCACTTGTTGCTTGCTTCTGCTTGCTGCTTTGTTGTCTCCTGCCTGGTTGCCGTGGACTATTTCTCCTCTGATCTCCCTCTGCAATGCCACCCTACCTTAGAGCCTGCCAATTATAGACTGAAATCTCTAGGAAATGTGGGCCAAAATAAGCCTTTCCTCCTTTAACTTGCAGGTATCGGGTATTGTCTCATCAACGAGAAAAAAGTAACTAAGATAGTTCTCAAAAGTTGTCTCATGAATAATTGAATGTTTTTATAGACTGACATCTATAAAATAAGGTGTTGTGCTAGATCATCTCTAATGGACCTTCCCGGCTAACTTTCTGTAACTGTCTGACAGTAGTAGATGGGGCACACCTTCAAATAGAAGATGACTTGCTCTTGAAACTAATGCTGACCTGAGTCCTGTGTTCCTCCTGACACCAAATCTGTGACCCCAGAGGATAAGGCCATTCTTTCCATTTCTGTGATGCTCCACTACTGACTCTACCTCCTCCTAGCACATCTCAGAGGAAAATATTTCTCTGTACAAGGCTCTAGCTAAGTTCTTTAAAAAAATCAAGTACTACTCACAGATGAGGTCTCAGATGCAAGATCAACCCGAATACGAAATCCATCTGCAATCTGGGCCCCATTTCTGTGTTATAAGAGAAAATGGCTGTTAAAAACGAGCACCAAATTACTAAAATATCTACTCCAAAGTGAAGTAAAAGAATAAAAAAAGGGCCTGGGATTTAGCTCAGTGGTTTCGCTGCCTGCCTCACAAGTGCAAGGACCCGAGTTCTATCCCTGGTACAAAAAAAAAAAAAAAAAAAGAATAAAAAAAATCTGGGTGCAGTGATGCACATCTATAATCTCTGCACTCTGGGAGACTGAGACAAGAGGATCACAAGGTCAAGCAGAGCCTGGGCAACATAAAAAGACTGTCTCAAAATAAAAAACAAAGGGGAGCGGGGTTCTGAGGCTCAGCACAAAGGCCCTGGGTTCAATCCTCAGCACCCCCTCAAACACACAAAAAGTCCCCATGACAATAATTCTGTTAATGCCTCAGAGATAAAATTACCTTTTCAATGCTTTTGTAGCAGCACTCTCTTCCTTAAACACAACATACGCATTAATGTTTTTCTGATCAGGATGAATTTTACGTCTGTAACAATAAGAAAAAGGTAAAATTTGTTAACCTCAAGGTCACTACAGTTTAGCTTTCTTTCTACTATCAACAAGTGTGACAAAAGGTAGCTTTTAGTTTTATAAAAGGCAAAACTTTTAGTTTCTTTGAATAAGTAGTAATAACTTGAAAAGAACATAAAACTTCTAAAAGCAGTGGTGAGAACACAAGAGCCAACAAGTGCCAAACTCTGAGAGCAATACAAGGACTAGATATTGTCATCTCAGCTGCTGCTCTGAATCTAGCACACACATGAACCTGGCTTTTCCTTTTTACTGTAAAATAAAACGCCAATGCAGAAAAGTACACAGCCTCATACTTCTTAGTGAATCAACCCAAGGCCCTGGCAGCCACAGCCCATCTAGCAGCCTCTCTGTGGTCCTTCCCAGCTGCAGTCCCCCCCTCCCTCCAAAGGACCCCCCCCCACTTTTGTATGGACCATTTCCCTGTTTATCCACATGATTCTATCACCCCAGTGGCTATACCTTAATATTACACTTTGTTCTTGTCCATTTTTTGACTCTGTACGTCTGAATAGTTTAATTAACTGGATAGTCCCTGTATCTCTTTTTCATCTTACTGCTTGACCACAGAAGCTCTCACTGCCTGGATTTTGCTGGCTTGAGCTAGCAGTGCAGCTCAACATGTGCCTTCGTCTTTTATATTTCTGTGAACCAGCAGCTAGATACAGAAAGGTTTGATCGGAGTCAGACTTAGCTTCTTTGTCAGAACATAGGTGTGTGTTAATGCTCTTTCCTGTGAGTCACGTTATGACTGACTTTTAATGACTGCATCTGGTATGTTCAAGGCTTGTACCCATTAACTCACTAGGTTTCCAAAATGGTCATATAATTTAATGTGCAAGTCAGCAAAATTAGGACCTCACAAAATTAGGACCACAGATTTTTCCTGGAAGATGTCTACATACTGTTTTGAAGTAACAAAAATGTTAATACTGTACCCAAGTAAATAACAATAATAAGGGAAGCAGAAAACAGTGCCAAGAATCACCCATGGAATTTTCTTTTTAAAATTTTTTTCCTAAGACAGATTTAATAGCACAAGTACAGCAGCATATTGGGGGTCTGAAGTACAGACATCAGCCCCCCCACTCAAGCCATTCTATAATGTGGTACTATGCCATCTAATAGTTTTACTTTGTTATTTTATTTTCTTGTGGTGCTAGAGATCAAACCCAAGACCCCCTGCAGACTAGGCAAAGTGCTCTACCACTGAGCAACATCCCCAGCTCCCTAATCGTTTTATATTGATGAAATCAGCTGTGATTAGATGCCTACTACATACCAGGCCCTGAATTAGACATTTTAATATATTTCATTTAATTTCACACCTGACATGGGTTTTGCTCTTCTGACTTTATGAATAAGGATGCCAAGACCTGGAACTGTGCGTGATCGTGACCATAAAGTAATAAATAGCCAACCTAGGATTGCAACCAAGCCTTCTAACTCCGGAACCTCACTCTTTCCACATGATATACAGCTGCTGACAACATTCAACAGGATACTCCCAGACATACATGAATGGACATGACTTTGTTATTCTATGCGGAAAGACCTTCTTGGCACAGGGACTACAAAAAGCAAGATGCGGCTGACATGACTCTGCACAGCTGGCCTGCACCAAGTTTGATGGATAGCAAAGCTTCCGCTTCTACCTACAACAGAGAGCCACAAAGAGCCTCCCTGCAGCCTGCTCCAACAGTAGGAAAACACCAAATAACTGCTGTGGAACAGCTTAACTCTTGTGGAAATCTTCAGAGAGCTGGAGTCTCAGGGAAAACAAGTGGTGTGGAAGTTAAGGCCAGGCCCCTCCTTCTGAGGAGTGACCAGAGAGGCACTAGTTCTGAGGTGGACCTCAAACAGAACCTGGGCAGCTGCTTATGCAGAAATGGGCACACCCACAGGATCTGCCCCCCTTTACCTCTGCTGGCATCCACAGGAAACACTTAGAGGAAGAGGGAGCCCATAAGTATGTAAATTGGAGGCTGCAAGTAGAAGTAGAACGTGGCCAAGCCCCATGTGTACTCTCCCAATGGAGGAATAGGTTGGTCCACTAGGGGAGGGACAGCAAGCCTGTCACCCAGGGCACAGAGTAGACTCTTGGGGTTGGAAGAGAGGCTTCTTGCCACCAGGGGAGGGTGGAAAATTCTACACTGCACAGGACCTGTGAAAGGTACAAGGCAGAGCTTTGCTGCCCTGGCATGGAGAAGCTGACCATCAGCTCCTGAGACACTGACTCCAGCCCATCTGAGCCTGAGGCTGGGCCAGAACAGCACAGACCTCACTGCCCCGACTTTCCCAGACTACAAAACTTCTAACAACAGCACAGTTTCAGCTGGATTTAAGAAAAAAAAACCCTGAAAACATTTGATCCTTCAAAAGATACCTTTTAATTACTACAAACTGAAGTAAAATACTAAAACATATTGGAAAAAGGTCTTGTATCCAGAACATACAGAGGACATCTTCCAACTTGGTAAGAAGACAAAGAAGGAACTAGAAAATGGTTAAGTTTTACAATGACAAATCACCAAAGAAAACCACTAAGCACATAAAAAGATGCTCATCTTTAGTAATCAGAAAAATTGAGACTAAAACCATAATGACAAACATTTAGCAGGACTAACATCAGATGACTACCAATACTAAATGCTATGAAGCTGGGGGGTTTCAGCTACTGCTGATGGGGATGTAAAATGGCATAACCAGTGCAGAAAACAACTTGGCAGTTTTCTTAGAGCTCAAATGTACCTATCACAGGACCGAGCAATCTCATCCACTGGAACTTTCTCAACATAAATGATCTGCACACAAACATTTTCAGTAGCTTTATTCATGATGGCCAAAAGCTGAAATAATCTGAATTTTCCTAACTAGTGAATGGATAAACTGTGATAATTTCACGCAATGGAATACTACTGAGCAATGAAAAAACAAACCACTGATACAAGCAACAGTATTCATGAACCTCAAAACCATTATGCTAAACAAAAGAAGCCAGACAAAAGTACATAATGGCTGGAGAGAGTACTTAACATGCTGGGGGCCCTGGGTTGAATCCCCAGCATCTAAAAAGAAAAAAATTGAAAACAAAGAGTACACATTGTATGATAATTCCATTTATATAAAATTCCACAAAATGAAAACTAACTTAATAGACACAGAAAGTAGATGAGTTGTCTGGGAATGGGGGAATGCACTGCAAGGGGTGGGAGGAAACCTAGGGTGAGGAAGGGTGCTGTACAAAGACCATCGTGATGATTTCACAAGTGCCCCACATATATGTTAACTTTTTTTTTTTGGTAGTACTGGGGACTGAACTCAGGACCTTGCGTTTGCAAGGCAAGTGCAGCACCACTGAGCTAAATCCCTGGCCCTTATATGTTAAACTCTTAAAGCTGTATACTTCATATGTCCTCAGTTTTAATGAAGGTAAATTAATAAAGAAAAACTTTTTTAAAATTTTGGCTGTACAAGAAAACAAAACCCCTCCCACAATTTACACATGGTAAAATTCTCCACAAGCAAAGTCAAAATGCAAATGACAAATGAAAAAACAGTTTAAAATGTATCATAAAAGGTTGATTACATTAGTATCTCACCAATTATTAAGCCAAACAATTCAACAGCAAAAGGAAAAAGAAAAGAAACTGGTAGTAATAATTCAGATGAAAGCAAGCACAGATTCCTAAGTATATGAAAAGACACAGACTCAGAAAAATTACAACAATCATTTCTACCTATTGCTGATGATCAAAACCTCAAAAATGTACTGCCTTTATTAAAAACTACAGCTGATAAAGGTGTAGAAATAAATAGGTGACCAACTCTAGGAGACAGCAGGCAAATTTCAATGGGAAACCACCTTTTTTTTTTAGTTTTTTGAAACAGGGTCTTACTACATAGTCTAGATTGGCCTGGAACGTCCTGCTCAGCCTACCGAGTGATAGGATTACAGGCATGTGCCACCATACCGGGATTTGCAAATACCCTTTTGTCAAAGCAGTTCTACTACCACAAATTTATCCTATAGATCCGTTAGCACTAGCACAAAATTATCTAAGGACAGTGGTGTTCAGGAACAGCAGCATTATGTGTTATGGCCACAAGACTGAAAATTAAAATTAAATGTCCATCAGGACATTTGTTCAAATACATTAAAGTACACCTGACAGAATACTAAGATGCTGTTTTTTAAAAATCACTTTTACAATTACAGAATGTACATAGGGAGATCTCCAAGATATACTAAATGGAAAAAAAGGAAGGTATGAATACCACTGAATTAAAAATAAAAAGTAGGAGTTACAAGTGTAGCTCATTGGTACAGTGTGCTTGCCTAGCATGAAGGAGCTCCTAGTTTCAATAATTCGCAACCCTGCCTTCAAAAGTCAAATGTTGAGTTGGGCCAGGGATTTAGCTCAGTGGTTCTGCCACCTGCCTCACAAGCACAAGGTCCCAGGATCAATCCCTGGTACCAAAAAAAAAAAAAGTCACATGTTGGGGACAGAACATGTATGTGAATCATTTGAAGATGTGTAAAATATCTATGGAAGGCCACACAAGAAACTAACAGCACAGTGCTGGCCTGGGGCAGGGAATTGGCTACCTAGAGAACAAGTGTATGAAGGAAATTTTTCACTGCATATACTTTTATACTTTTCAGTTTTCAACAAACTGCTTCATTAGTTGTTCAAATAATTGGCTTCAATTTTTAAAGCTGGGAGGTGGAGAGACTGATGGTAAGTACAAATTTCATTTTTCTGGCATACCACCCCCAAACTTCTCATAGTGCTATTACATATTCTACTCAGAACTTCTATTTCTGTCAAAATTTAGGCTCCTGGATTTCAGCCTCACACAAAATGAACGGCTGTATCTCACCAAGTTTCCCATTTCCATCAGCATCTGGACAATGCCTTCTATCTAGGAGGAGCTACAGATTTGGCTACCACAATAAACAAGACTGTGGGAGTAAGCCGATATTCTATTCACCTGGCACTGTGATGCTTATGGGGAAAAAGGAGCAAAGACTTGGTCCACACCAAGTAACTCCAGATAAAACTCCAAATTAGGAACAAATGAAGTCACCAAGATATCCAAAGAGACTAAAATGTTTTTAAAGTACCTTAGTACTTTAAGATGAAATTAATTTAATCTAATAATATAAAGACATCTCTGCTTATAAAACCTATCATTCTGTGTACCATTAAAAAAGCAAAAACATCCAAGAGAGTGAGACTAATTTGAAACCATGAATAAAGCTGAAGGTAAACGTAAATAAATCTGTGTAGGAAGAGGGAGCAAGGACATTTGTATATCTCATTCTTGGGCAAGAAAGGACAGACATCCCCTGAAAATTCGATCTCCAAGCCACACTACCTGTATGGTTCCCAAGTCCCCAAAGAGAGAAAGTGAAGTGGTCACAGGGTGACCACCAGGTGACCAGCCAACGCAACCATGAATTCTCTGACCAGCCATGGAAAGTATAAGGTGCCCGACTTTCATTCAGATGTACGTTGCTTAACAGAAACTATGAGGTATCCCAAGAGGTGAAGAAACATGGTATTCATGCCTGTACTAGAAAATTTGGGTATTCATGATTGGTACTATTTGGGCTCAAAACTTCCTTATGGTCTTCTAAGCACTATGAACATTCTTCAAATTTCTTGTGACACATTGTCTAGTGAAGTATTTTACAATACTTTCTATGACTTTGCAATTTATATTAAAATTTTAAAGATAAACATCTGATAAACTTACATGCTATTACAGACACAAGGAAACAGTAAAGCATACTGTATTATCTAAATACAAAAATCTATGAAACTGTTAAGTAATGTCTCAATTTTTAACCAAAAAGGAAAAGAGTTTAAGACAACTCCTTTCTTCTAATTATAAACTTACTTGATTGCTGCCAACTTTTTGGATACAGTTCCCTCTGCTGGAATCTTTTAAAAAGAAAAAAATAAGTATTTTAAAAATACAGTATTTGAAATATTACTTCAAATTAAATTTTAATTGAAATGTAAATCTCTAACTGGTATATTATGATTAAAAACATTCTAGAAAATAACTGGCCTGTTATATGAAAGGGAGCGCATGGCTCATGATTAAAAAGTCCCAAAGATAGCATCACGCTCCATATTAAACAGCAGTAACTCTCAATCTAGAGAGGATTAAAGACCCAAGACTTTCCACTGTATGGGTGACTGAAGGGAAAGAGGCAAGACAATGATCCTGAAGACATGAAAAAAATGAAATGAAAATTGTTTTATAAAATAAGTGTGGGGAAAAAAAGCAATGTTTATAAATTAACATCTTCCTAGCCCTCAGGAAGTTGAGGCACGAGGATTGTTAGTTCAAGGCTGGCCTGGACTACACTGTGGAGACCATGTCTTTTTTTTGAGATGGGGTGCCACTGTGTAGTCCAGGCCGGCCCTGAATTCAGTCTGTACCTCAAGGTGACCTCAAATTCTCAGCATTCTTGCTGCTTCAAACTCTTGAGTGTTGAGAATATAGGTGTGCACCACTATGCCTGGCATTAATGTCTTATTTTATAGCCTACATATTTTTAATGCTTAATAAATAATTTAAAGTATAAGTTAGGTGTAACTGTAAATTAGATATAAGTTAAATATAACTTCATATCTCTAAGAGTTTACATATTCTAACTGGAAAAAATATATTCTAATTGGATCTTTAAACTGGGCAAGTAAGAGAATCCCATTTACACTCTAGATCACTTTATTTTCATTCTTACATAGCACTTTGTGAATTTTTAAATTTTTAATCAGATTTTTGTAGTACATAACGATTACATTCACTGCGAGGAGCTGCACATGTACACAACACATCTTAACTGTTTTTACTTCCCCTTCCCTCTCTTCCCTTTCACACGCAGCCTTTAAGGATCAATGGACTAAGTAAAGAAAACTTTATGGAAGAGGCAGAAATTCAAGTTAACAACTATATAATATGCTAAATCAGCCAAGTACTGAAAAAGACACCAGCCCTGCAAGTCAGTCTAGAATCATCCATGAATGCAAATCTCACCCAGGGCAGTGCTTATGAACCTCCTCTAGAAAATATTTTTTTTCCATAGTCACCTAACAGTTTATACAGTAAAACTAAAAACACTGTACTATTTCCTCTCTTCTGTGTGTCTTACTCAAATCACTGGCATACAAACTATCACAAAAGAAAAATATATATACAAGAAATCTCTAAATGAATATTCAGTATGTGAATGACAGTCATCAAAACACACCGGGAGTATTTTTGCAGCTCTGAAAGATCTACATGCTGTGGCTGAAGATATTAGTAAGTGTAACACACAACAATAAAATATAAAAATACTTTAGGAAAGTACTTTATTTTAAAAATAAAGTAAAAATACTTTTTCTTCAGAGGAAAAAATACCAATTAATGGTATAAAATACCAAAAATGTTTTGAAGAAGTTATGTTCTACCTGCACACTGACAAATGGATAGTTTTTTCACAGGCAAATGGGACATAAGGACTATTATCCCAGCTACTCAGAAGGCTGAGGCAGGAGAATCACAAGTTGGAGGACAGCATAAGCCAATGGCAGCAAACCTATGGCACATGTGCCACAGCAGGCTGTATCACTGAAAGCACTAGAAGGGTCACCATCACCGCCCTAGGCAATTTAGCAAGACCATGTCTCAAAAAGTATAATGTAAAGGGCTAAGGAAGTAATTCAGTGATATAGCACTTGCCTAGCATGTATGAAGCTCTGTGATCAACTCCCAGTATTACAAAATTAATATATAAACAAAACAAAACAAAAAGTAAAATGACCCCAGGCAAAATGAACAGAGCAAAAGAACAAAGGTGAGAAAGCACATGTAGGGAGGAACACACTGTCAGGCTAAGACCTCAAGATAGATTTAACTGACAGTGAAAAGAAAAATTTTACATGCCTCAAACACATATTTAATGAACACAAGGTGCAGGTGCTGGAGACCATAAGGATAAGTAAGACACACTCTACTGGTAATCACTGCTGCCAGTCTGGAGGCGAGACAAGCAAAGAACAACAGGTGCACTACAGTGCAACAAGTACTACAAGGTGGGGCTGAAGGAAACACACACCTGTAGCTCAGGGGAAGGGAAGAAGCTGGGCAGGCTCCTTTAAGGTGAGAATGGCGGTGGGGATAGAGTGAGGCAAAGACAAGAGTTACAGCAAGAAGGGCTTTAGGAAGATCAGGTTGATAGTGGTGTACTGGACAATTAGAGGAAAACATAAAATAGAAACCATTATAGGCCTCTATAACTATTCTAACAAAAAACAGAATGTGTGCTTGGGGGGACCTCATTAATTAGGAAAAAGACTTCAGTTGAAAACCAGGTAAAGGCCCAGGCGTGGTGGTGCATGCTTGTAATCCCAGCACTCCTGAGGCTGAGGCAGGAGGTCCACCACAAGTTCGAGGCCAGCCTGGGGTACATAGGGAGTTCATGGCTAACCTGAACTACACTGCAAGATTCTACCTCAAAATAAACAAAAAAATCCAGAAAATCAGGCAAGAATGGGAAATAATAGGCTAAGTGAACCAAAGAGAAATAGTCAAAGCCACCTCCAAAGCATTGCAACCTGGTGCCACTGAATGACAGAAACAATCAGCAGGTAGCATAGACTGGGATGGGGTGGACAAAAGCAAGTAGTCATGTTGCAGCTGGGATGGTGGCAAGACACCCCAGTCACCGTGTTAAGCAAGGGTCTGAAATAGGGAAATGGAACTCAGGTGATAAAAGTAGGAAACAAACACACTGACAGAAATTATGGGGACTGAAAATCTTGGGAAATGTCTCTTAGAACAAAGAGCAGTTTTGACTCTTGAAATATCTGGCAATATTTAGATATTTTTGGTTGTTCAACTGGGGTGGAGAGAACTTAGAGCACCTAATGGGTTAAGGCCAGAGATGCTATTAAGCATCCTATAATACACAGGATTGCCCTCAACAATTTTCTAGTTCAGAACTTCAATAGTACGAAGGTTGAGAAACTCTTTTTTTGTTTTGTTTTTGAGACAGGGTTTTACATAGTTTGTAGTTCAGGCTGGCCTTGAACTCACTATGTAGCACAGACTAGCCCTGAACTCACAGTGATCTTCCTGCTTCAGCTTCCCCAGTGCTGGGATTACAGGCATGCGCCACCATACCCGGCAAGAAGCCCTATTTTAGAAAACCACATAAAAGAAAGAGCAATTCGAAATGTGAAGTAGGTATTTTCTGAATTCTGGTATATATTAATTATAATTAAAATAGTGTTCAAGAATATATACTGCAGTAAGTTAACTATGAGGTAAGAAAATTAGAACAGATATGGGGAAAAAACAGTATTATTTGCAACAGTAGAACCAACCGCCCATAATGGCTAAGATTCCAGAAATGCTATCCTGTAAGTATCAACTTTTCTGACCACTCTATTGACATAGCAAATAAAAGTCATTCATTCACACTCCAAAATACACTGCTGGTATTGCTATCAAGGATATCCCTTTATCAGATTATTTAACAAGTCTAAGACTCAGCAATACACACTACGACCCACTCTTTCCCTGGGCTATATTTATAAAAGTCAGGTGCTTTTTCAATCCAGTGGTACCAAGAATTCAGTAAATCTGACTTAATATAAGACATTTTAAAATTATGAAATTTTACAAAGAGAGAAGACATACCAGAGAACGAAATCGTACAGATTCTATTTGTCCATACTCTTTAAAAAATGACTTCAGCTTCTAAAAAAATAAAATATATACATACATTAGTTCACTTTCAGAACATCAAGTAAGTGTCACGAAATAGAAAGACAAAATGGATCATCTTTTAAGAACAATTCAGGAAAAGTAGGTGACTACTCAGTTGCACAGAAGTTTTACTAAAGCTTATAAAGAAAATGCAACTCAAGTTGATATTCGTGTCTATGAATTGTAAATATTTTTTCTTTTAGTCTTTTATCTTTATCACGTGCAAAATGAGGTTAGACTTATATTTTCTTTTTTTGGGGTACCGGAGATTGAACTCGGGACCTTGTGCTTGCAAGGCAGGGGGCAGAACCACTGAGCTAAATCCCTGGCCCTGGACTTATATTTTCTATATACAGTATTTTCTGATTTTTTTCACATTAATTTAAACAAGGAATGAATTTTAATAACGCTTATATTGCTATAAGGAATTCTTTAGTTGTCTCTAAGACCAACAGTTTGAGGAGAATCCTAGTGGGTATATGTTTTAGACTTTCTTATTTCTAAAGGTCAAGATGTGAAGAATATATGTGTTTTATAGGTAGGGCAATAATTTCTATAACCAATTCTAATTAAAAGTAATTTACTGTATTTGTGCAAAGCACTACTATACTACCACACTCCCTTCCCTTGAGCTGCTTATAATATAATAGGAAGGTAAATATCCAAAACTATGGCATAAAACAAAATCTGTGACCTCCTACAAAATAACCACAAATCAAATGCTAGCAGACAAAAGGTGTGACAGAGAAAAGTCAAAATGGTTTTTAAGTATTGTTTCATTTTTTGGGAAGTAGATTAAAATTGCTGGTCAAAAGATGAGTATTTTGAGCCAAGACTGCCAACATACAGACTACATCATGACTACAGAAAGCAAAGGGGATGTTTTCAGTATAGCGAACCCTACGATGCATTCATACTTTTACACAATGAGCATTTACTAAGCCACTACTAGACTCAATGTACCCTCTCATGAGAAAGAGCAGAAAGAAAACAGCGAAGTTTCTCTGCACATACGGAGTTTCCAATCCAGTGCCATATGAAAAAGGCCAGAGAGGAAGCCACTACAATAACTGAATTGGGAGCTGTAAAAGTCTGAATTAGGGCGGGATTACAGGAATGAGAGGAAAGGGGGGGGATACTGGAATTAGTTTATAGGAGTATGAAATCTGTAGTCTTTCATAATAAAGTCACATTAATGACTTATTAGTAATGTGCTTAATCAATAAATGAACCATAAATGAAGTCAATTTCTCTGAATTTCTACCACATACAAAGTACAAACTCACCTTCTTATTACATGTGATAGGCAAATTCCCAACAAACAGAGTCCTCTCATTCTTTAATCTCTCTTCTTCTTGGTTGACTGGGATTTTCTTTCTTTGACTTGCATCAAAGTTGTGACCTACATCATCAAGTACTTTTCTATATGCTACTTTAACACTAGAGCGAGACTTTTTCCCTTTCTGCCCTTGTTTTTGGAGAATTTCTTCTTCTAAATCAGCACTTGCTAAAGCAGTTTCCCTAAATTTTAAGGGAAAAACAGATAGTAATAAGAACCATGAAAGTCAAGCATTTTAGAAAGCATTGCTCAATTCTCCTGATTAAAAATATTTCCTTGATTTCCATTTTTCCAAATAAAACCTTACCACAAAGACTTTTAGCATTATCTACAAAATGACTAGTACTTTTAGAAACCAAATTCTGTGCCTCAACGTAAGAAAAAGTGTTAAGCTCACTTTCTGAAGACATGATAAAACTGCCAATCAATAGCAGTAGCACCAAGTTCATCTAAATGACAGTTCACTTAAAGCTTGTCAATATTTAGTTTAGACTCTTTCAATGCCTAACTGCATTCTCCGCTCTAGAATCTAGGACCCTGCACCATTCCAGGTTGGGGGGAGGGGGAGTTTATGTGCTTGCCAAACATTTAACTTTCTAAAAAAGAATCTGGTCAATTAAAAAAAAAAGATTTCCAATTTATAATTCTATAATATTTAAAGGACTCTTACTAAGTGTAAATTCTGAAACGGTAAATGCAATATAAAGTATTATAGCAAATGGACTGAAAAGGTCTGACATAATCCAAAACCAGAACTGGATGGTGATCATAGAGGAGAGAAAATGGGCAGCTGGAGTCATAATATGATTCACTCTTCAACGAACACTGGGTTTCCACTCTATTGTAGGTTCTAAAAACCCAAAGAAACTATCAGGAGCCTTTCAAAAGTGTAATAAAAAAGCTAGGCAGGGGCTGGGGATTTAGCCCAGTGGTTTCGCCGCCTGCTGTGCAAGTGCAAGGACCGAGTTCAATCCCCGGTACCAAAAAAAAAAGCTAGGCAACAAGCCTGTAAGCAATCCTTGCACTCAGGAGGCTGAGGCAGAAGACTGTGGCAAGTTCCAGGCCAGCCTAAACTACATAGCAAGACTCTGTCTCAAAACAAATAATCAAAAAAAGTATAGTAAAGAGACATGCAAAGTTCACCAAAAAATGATAATAGCTAATGGCTGGGGGACCTAACTCAATGGTAGAGTACTTGTTAACAAGGGCAAGGCCTTGGGTTTGATTCCTTTCGATGATGATGATGATGATGATGATAATGATAATGATAGCAGCTAGACTATATAGTACAAGAGCATAAGAGAAACAAGAAAGGCTTCTCATAGGAGGAAAGTGGTGTCCAGGACAGTGAGTCCTCGACAAATGTGGACTGTTATTACTCCTCCCCCCAGACCAACAGCTCTACTAAGGGGAGAGTTCATCTCTAGTGTTCTGTTTACTACGGTACATAATAAAACTAGCAAGAAGGGAAAGAAATATAACCATATGGTAAGATAGGTTCCAGGGCAAGAAAGATCCTCCTTCTATGTTATGCAAAAGTGCTAGATTTTAACCTACAGATGACAAGGAGCCACCAAACACTTTAAGAGTGCCTAAAAAGATCATGTAAGACAGTACAGAGAGAGACAGCCACGGGACATGGTTAGAGAAGGGACACTTGTAAGAAATGGTTACAACTATGTGTGTCTAAGAAGAAAACAGACCAACCAGAGCAGGGATAGAGGTGGAAAGAAGATATAGTAGAGATGATTAAGAGACAATATCAAGCTGAGAGTGGTGGTGCACATCTGTAACCCCAGCAGTCTGAGAAGCTGAAGCAGGAGGATAACAAGTTCGACCTCAAGCCTGGCTAATTTAGCAACTTAGAGCTTGTCTCAAAATAAAAAAAGGTCTAGGGATGTAGCTCACAGCAAAGGTCCTCAGTTTAATTCCCAATACCCCAGTAGCAACCCCTCACCAAGAATCAGCCAGGCACAGAGGTGTGCACCTATAAAGAAGGGTGAAGCAGGACAGCTTGAGCTCAGGAGTCCAGGTCAGCCTGGGTGACATAGTGAGACTTTGTCTCTTAAAAAAAAAAAAAAAAAGCAGCAGCAGCATTAGGAGTTGGCAGCTGATGAGCTATGCAGGCACAGGGAAGAGCACATGACTCCCAAGCCACTGCCTTAGGATATACAAAGGAAGTGGTATCATTTAAGTAGAGGATTAGGACTGATGAGGCTGATGATTTCCATTTGAAATAATATTTTCTTTTTTTTTTTCCAGTACTGGCAATTGAATCCAAGGTCTTCCCACTGACCTCTATCCCCATCCTCCTCTCCTTTTTTTGAAACAAGGTTCAGGCTGGCCTCAAATTTGCAGCAATCCTCCTGCCTCAGCCTCCCACATGTTGAGATTACAGGCATGTGCCACCACACCCAGCTCCTAGCCCTTATTATTTATTTATTTATTTATTTATTTAATTTTGTTTTGAGTCAGGATCTTGCTAAGTCATTAAATTGCCAGGCAGGACTGGAATTTGCAATCTGCCCTGTCCCCAGCTCCCAGAGTACTGGGATTACATACATGCACAACTCTGCCCAGCTTCCTTAACTTGAAGTGCACATGGTCTATACAGGAGTGAATGCCAGCTAGCAAAAGATAAATAGGTCTGGGCTGGGGATTTAGCTCAGTGGCACTGTGCCTACCTCGCAAGTGCAAGGTCCTGAGTTGGATCCCTGGTACTGCAAAAAAAAAAAAAAAGATAAATAGGCCTGGAGACCAGCACAGAGATCCAAGAGGAAAACACAAAATGAAGGGTGAAAAAAGGTCACAAGAAGATGACCATGAACAAGAATGCTAAGGAAAAGCAACATCTAAAAAATGAGAAGAAAAATTACCCATGTTATCACTGAAAGGCAACAGGTAGGGGAGGGGAACAACAGCAAGAAGGGGGGGAATCAAAAGAGACTGCCCTCAGAGAATTCAACAAGAGCAACCATTTATGATGTGTTACAAGAGGGCTCCTAAGACAACGGCTGTACTGCCCATTAAATGCAGCAACTGGTTGGAGCAGGTCCAGTGACAGGCCTCAGAGATTGATCTGTTGAATTCCCCCTCATTTGTCCTTGCAACCAATAAAGGCTGCTGGTGCCAGAAAAAAATAAATAAATAAATGTAGCAACTAGGTAAGAAAGGCCTCCGTGAGCAGTTTCAGCTGCATGATCCAGAGAGCCCCCCCCCCCCACTCCTGATATGATAAGTAAATCATAAAGAAGTGAAGAAAGCAAAAGAATAGACCATTTTTTCCCCAGCATCTTCCTGCTTCAGTCTCTCCAGTACTGGGATTATAGGAATCCTCCCCAGCCAGTGTTATAGATGAACTTTTCTAAAAGCTCAACTATGAAGATAAGGATTGTGAACAACAGCAAACAGAGACACATAATTGTTGACTGAGGTTTTTTGGTTGTTAGATTTTTTTTTTTAAAGATGAGGGCCTTTTAAAAAAAATTTGCAGTACTAGATTGAACCCAGGCCCTTTGCACTGAGCTACATCCCTGCTCATTTAATGATTTTTTAATTTTTACACAGGGTCTTGCTAAGTCATTCAGTTGCCCAGGCTCTGATCAAAACTCAAATTTTTGATCCTCCTGTGTCAGCCTAGCTTTCAGATGATAATGTTGAGCATATTTTATGTTGGAAAGATCAAAGATATAGGAAAGAGAAGAAAATAAATTGATCTAATGGTACAATCTCTAGGGAGGCCAAACATATGTGGTATATACAGTACAATTGCCTGGGTTAATCTTTCTCTGAAAAAAAAGGGGTGAAATTAAGACTGCACAGATGCTTTAAGTTTGCAGAGAACAAAAAGAAGCAGTTTACAACTCTCAGAATAGGTAAAAAGATCATCTGTAAAGAGAAAAGAGAAAAGGGAAAAGAAACTAAGTCTGAAGATAGTGGTAAAGAATGAGGAATAGTAACTAGAAACATGACAGCACTGTTGGATCCTGATTCAAATACACTGTAAAAAAATTTTTAAAGTCAATGGCTTGTTTCCAAGGGATAAGGAGAATATGAGATAAAAATGAAACAAAATTGGCCTAATAATAATTGCTAATGGAGATGAGTAAGATTTCTTATCCTTTTCAATATTGTACATTATGAAATTTTTAAAAATTTTTGAAAAAAAGCAATCAAATAAAAACGAGAAAGATGAATATTGCAGATATAAAATTTTAATTTCTTCCCATCTTATGTAATAGCAACTAAAAATTTTACCAACCTGCTCGCCAACTTGTCTGCATCAGAAAGTTCCTTCTTCACTTTTTTTGCACGCTCTTGCAAAAGTGGCCTTTGAATCAGAGATGTATTTTCTTCCTCCTCATCACATTTCCTCTTTTTAGAAGTTTCCTTTTAAAAGTTTGAAGCTATGTTTGAGACCTCACCTTCTAAAATTCTGGCCCCATCTCTCAAAAGTAGCGCCTCTCTTCACTCACTGGTTATACGGCGTAGGAAAAGAGTGCCTAAATAAATAGTCCCCATAGTTCCTCTATAGAAACCACGCTTAACCCAACGGGCCATTCATCACAGAACCAGCGACCTACCTGAGACACAGGCACGTAGACTGGTCGAACTTGTGGTGCAGAAGCGCTGAAGAGGGAGGCCAGCCGCCCCGCGCAAGCTCTGGGTGGGGGCCGGCCGCGGAGTAAGCTCTTGGCGACCTGTCCAATTAGGTAGTCTCTGGATGCATCCCCGTCAGCGCCGAGGCCCGGGTCCTCCCTGGGAAGGAAGGTCTGGCTCTCAGCGCGCCACAGGACACCGCTTCCCGGCCCCTCGAACGCACAACACGCTAACCGAGCAACACGCGCCGCGCGCACTCACCTCTGCTTCGCACTTCTCTTTTTCTTCCGCTTGTTCCCCGCTTCCAAAGCCATTCTTGCTCCAAGCTTTCCACGCCCGCTATAGCCCGGGGAAAGCACTTCCGGGTTCCGGCTACTTTCGCTCTTGCCACGCCTCTTGGGCGAAGGATCACGGTCCTTCTCATCCAGCAGACAGCGGCTGCGCAGGAAAATAGGTTCCTGGGGCTTTGTTCCTAAACCTTAGCTCTCCTGCCTGGTGTCAGAGAAGCCTGATCTCGGAGTAATGGAGACTTTCCTAGAGTAGTTGAGGCCTTAAGAATCAGCCTGACTGGGAGTGCGATGTCAACGGAGGGAGGGAAGAGCATGTAGGAAAGGAACTCCAGGGTCGTTGAGGGAGCGCTGCTGAGAAATGACGGTACCGGTGTGTGTGACTAGTCGGAGAGTCGCCTTGAAGGGAAGGGAGTGATTTGTACTACCTTAGCTTTTCTAAAGTTTGACATCACTTCAAAATACGTTACGAACAAGTAGTTGGAGACCACAGCTCTGCTTTCCATGTATTTTTTTAAGATTTTATGGCTGAACAGCTGTTCCACCAGAAGTAGATGCTTGGCTCTCAAAATCATAGGGCCTTTCTCTCTGCCTGCCTTCACAGACTCCTCCCCCTAAACACGTGAATCCTAGCTGCATTTTCTCTCTGCCTCTCGTCATTCCCGACTTCACTACAGCCCTCCTGACTACAGATACTGCCACTGATCAAAGTTACTATTTGCAATAGGGATATAAATCTTCCCCACCATACTTACCATAATCATGTTTTGCGTGTTAGTCTCTTTTGATGTGAAGGCAATGATGAAGATAAGGATAGATGCCATACACATACGCTGTATCCTTGTTCACTGTACCTACTCAATATTTGCTAAATTGATTTTTAGGAAATAAAACAAGTACTAAATTCAGTAGCTTGGGGATCTGACTTTGAATCTGTTGGAAACACTCCTGCTTTTGAAAGTTATCACAGTACACTGGGAATATTTGTGAGCTTTTGTTGCAGACAACTTTATTGAAAAAAGAAAACTACTTGGCCCTGATTATGACCACTGAGCTTCTAATTTTGGTGGCCTGTTGATGGCCTGATATTTCGAAGGCGGAAAAGTCCATCCGTATATGTCTGCGATACAATTTAAGGATCCGTGCTATACAGTCCAGTGGAAAAACCCGTCTTGTGTTCTCCTCAGATTGTCCCCTAATCCCATTCTCTCTCCCAAACGTTCCAAGAATCACCATCTATATGGAATATTGGAACCTTGCCCTATCTGGCCTTCTGGCCTTGCACTGTCCAGTCTAGCCTGTGTTCTAGTGCCAGGTAAATGTCCCTTATACCTTGACTCAAGGACTTCAAGTCACCATCAGTCAGCAGAAATCCTGTATGCCTATTTTTACTATCCTTTTAAAACTCATGCACTAGTCTCCACAATCAAGAAATTTAACACTTAAACTTGCACTTAATTTTAAGTCAAATATCTCCTATGTCTTGTTAGTCTGATCTCAAAATAGGTTAAACCTATTCGGTGAGAAAATAAGACCCATGATTGGAAATAGCTTTAAGATTATCATCACTGTCAAAACTTTTTTTAGACCATTAAGCAATCACTAACCCCTTTGAGGGTTGCTTAAGATACAAGGATTCTTGGACCTCGGATTTAGCTCAGTGGTTCCAGTGCCTGCCTCGAAAGCGCAAGGTCCGGAGTTTGATCCCCCGGACCAAAAAAGAATACAAGGATTCTTCACAGAAAAATACAGAAAAAAATCTAATAAAAAGGGGGTTTCATGGATTCTGCTCCACTATATATCGTAACTTCCCAGGTTAACAAAATTATTAAGACCAGGGTCTACTAAAATTATTTCAGTAGGAATGCAAATTTTTGGAAAAAAATAGCATCTTAATTTTAGCAAAGTAAATGAAATAAAATGCACTTTGGGTGACCAAGGATAGATTAGTCAAATTCTGATGATGTAATTCTCAAATCCACTAGGAGAAGATGAGGACAAGGAGTATAACTCCAACAAAATTTGGAATCATTCCCCTACATAGCATTCTTATAACACACTCTGTAGCTGACACTAGGATTTTGTGATGAAGTAAGATTGACAATAGGGTAAAGGAAACTATTTAGCCAAATGTCCCTTCACAAACCTCAAAGCTTTTAATATACTTACACTATGTTAACAATTCTAAGAAGGTTATATGCTATATAAAGGATTTCAAAATCATACTTTACTTGGGCTGGGGATATAGCTCAGTGGCGTGCCACCTGCCTCACAAACACAAGGTCCTGAACTCAACCCACCCCAACCCCCACACCAAAAAAAAAAAAAAAAAGTATACTTGACAGTACACTTCCAGAGCATTTCCAGGAAGAAATATTCTAGGAACTTATTTTGGGTAACACTGTTCTACAGAATTAAAAATTTATCCTTTAGAAGTTAAATTGTCAGGGCCTGGAGATGTAGCTCAGCAGCACATTACCTGCCTGGCAGCAAGCATGTGGTCCCCAGTTTGATCCCAGGTACCAAAAAAAACCAAACTTGAATTGCTCATTGTGGTGGCACATGCCTATAATCCCACTACTTGAGTGTGAGGCAGAAGGACTGGAGAGAGTTCAAGGGCATGAGGAAAGAGAGTTCAAGGGCAGCCTGGGCTACATAGTGAGTTCAAGGCCAGAATAAAATGAAAAAGTAAAATAAAATAAAATAAGCATTAAAAAATATAAAAATGTTAAACGAATTTCTGTTAAAATAAAGGGCCATCCTAAAGATACTCTAAAAGAGGAATCTCCGATTTTTCTTTCCTCTTTTGAAATGGAGTCTTGCTATTGTTGCCCAGGGTGGTCTCCAACTTTCAATACTCATGCCTCAGCATCACAAGTAACTGGTATTAGAACCATCTGTCACCATGCCTGGTGGTAGTTTCTTTTTTTGGTTGTTACTGTTGAGATAGGGATCTCGTTGTGTAGTCCAGGGTGGCCTTGAATTCACTATGTAGCCCAGGCTGCCTTCCAAGTTATGGCAATCTTCCTCCCTCAGCCTCTGAGCGCTGGATTACAGGTATGCACCATTACGCCTGGCTAGTTTTTCATTGTTTAAAAAAAAAGGAATTTCTTTTGCTAGAAAATTCACTAAATGGACCAAAAAACTAGATTGTTGATTTTCAACGGTTTGGTACAGATCAGTGGTTCCCAACCCAGATACATACTAAAATCAATGGAGAATTTTTTAAAATATCACTATCACCCAAGTACCACCAGAGACCAATTAAATACAACTGGGGGGGGGGCCTTGATGAAGGGGGTGGTGGTAGTGAAGGACTATTGTTACCATGCCCAGCTGATTCCAGTATGTAATAGGAATAGGACACAGTCAAGTGTAAGAGACCCACACAGGGGCAAATTAAATTTTTTTTAAAAATAGCTGTTGGTTATGGATTCAAATGATCTAGGGGAAAGAAAACTGGCAGTACTGAGGACTGACCACAGGATGTTTGCACTGCACTAGTTCTCCAGCCTTTTAATTTTTTTTGAGACAGTCTCAGTAAGTCACTAAACAGTTCTGTCACTTAAATTTGTGATCCTCCTGCCTCATCTTTTGAATTGATTTTTCATTTTTGGGGGACAAATCTCCAGATCATAAGAAAAATATTTACATTCAGATTCAACCAAAATAGTGTAGTAAAGATACAAGAAGAGGGGCCAGGTATTTAGCTCAGTGGCACTGCATCTGCCTTGTTTTTTTGCTTTGTTTTGTTTTTGTTTTTGGTACCAGGGATCGAACTCGGGTCCTTGTGCTTATGCAGCAGGCAGCGAAACCACTGAGCTAAATCCCCAGCCCTGCATCTGCCTTGTAAGCACAAGGTCCTGAGTTCGATCCTTGGTACCACCAAAAAAAAAAAAATACAAGGCGGCCTTTAAAAACCCTTTAATTGGTTAATGGACCTTTTTCCCCTCTTGCTGCTAGAGATTGAATCCAGGGTCTTGTGCACAGTGTGTGCTTTACCACTGAACTATACTCCCAGACCTGGTTAATGGACTTTTCCTTTTTTAATGGTAGAAGAGTCCCTTTTTCTGATGTCAGTTAACTCCTTGTGATAATTTATATTGGCTACATGTTCTAGTCAGTCATTACATGGAAAAATGAACTAAAATTACTTAATCCTTCAGAAACAAAATCAAGGATTCACAAACTATGGCATTTATTTCAGAGCCTTTGCTTACATTTGTACAATATATTACATAATTCTTCATTGTTTGCAGATCCTAATATATACTTTATAGCTCTTATTCTATAAGCTTCTTCAACATTTTGCTGTCAACAAATCTTTACAATCCTGTACAAATTTGAGTAACTTGAAACCATTTTCAACAAAATTAGTTACTGTAAGCACACACTACAAGACTGAAAATGCTTTTCTCAGAAAAGTTGAATGTAAAAGATTAAGGTTTCTGACACGTTAGCATCTACAACAAAACGCTTCAAAATTCTCACGTCGTATTGCCAGAAAACAAATAAAACATGCCAGCCCCATTCAAAAAAAGTACATAGAACTACAATTAAAACAGTAAAACAGTCTGTACAGTAAAGTATTGTGTATTAACAGTGCCAGATATTAAATAGCTTCAATGAACACATCCGCAATATACAAATGTCTTACAAAAGTGAAGAATTAAATACAAGTGCCAAACAGAACAGAGATTGGAATCATATAACATAAAGTCAATACAAGTAAAAACAATTCTGCGTTCATTTTGGATTTTATACAAGGCATATAATTTTATAGGCCTACCACCCCAATTAGCTATTTATACTTAAAATAACAACCATCTTTCTTTCTGAGACAGTTCATATAAACAACCTTGAACCATACTAATAGTTTGTTCCTGAAGTCCTTTTGTTGTAGCTCATAATAAAATAAGCAATACAAATGAATTATCTGTTTGTAAGGGAAAAAGAAACATTTACAAGAAAACACAAAAATATAACTGTTATAATTCATTATGAATAAATATACACTTTGAACTGGCTAAGTACAATCTATACATTGTTTAAGATTTAATACAGTTTATTAGCCATTTTCTTTTTCACACAATGTATATCAAAATTAAAAAAAAATACTGATTTATAGAAAAATGGCAAAGTACAGTAGTT